AAGTGTTCTGAAGGTTGTTCTTCCTAACATTTCGCCAGTCTCTGTGGCTGGCATCTTCAGAGGACAGCACTCTGTGTTCTGGTGTAGTCAGCTTGGGAGTCAATAATACTTCGTTATGTCCCCAAATTACTGTACTTGTTTCTTAGTCTGGAGGCATGGCTTGCCAGTGATCTTATGTACTTTATCTGCCATGGTTTGGATTATGCTGTTTCCCATTCCGAACCCTAAGTATTTCATCTGCTGTTGGGCCACTTTGCATTTAGCAAGGTTTGGGGTGAGCCCTGCCTGCCAGCTTGGGCTCTTCCAATATCATCAAGAGGTGGGTTAGATGGGCTAATCATGGGCGGTTGAAAATAATATTATCTATATAACCTACCCTGAACTCCTGGATGAGTTCTAGGATCCGATCTATTTGGCACTGGCACATGGCAGCTGCCCCAAAGGGCATACATGTAAAGCACAGGAGCCCTTTGAGTGTAGTAAAAGCTGTATTTTACTTGTCTTGCCTCCACAGTGAGATTTCCCAATACCTTTTGGTTAGATATAAAGGTGTTAGAAAGTAAGAGTCACCTAGCTGTTCATCTATCTGAGGCATGGGGCAGGCATAAACTTTTGACACTAAGTTAAGGAATTAGAATTGATACAAGACCTGATGGCTCCCATGAAGCTTAGGCACCAACACAGGTTAGCCCTGTCAGGGGTTCAATCACCTCCAAGCATCGCATGCTTTCCACCTCATCAATTACAGCACTTGTCGCAGCTGCCGGGGTTATGCATCAGTGTGTGCACAGAGACCCCCCAAGGATGGATGCAAAAGTATCCAAGATTTCAGCTTCAAGAGCCCTACATTGGGACACCTGTTCAGGGGAGGGCTGTTCGCCTAAGGCAGTATTTTCCAAAATTGGGTCCCCAGATGTTCTTGGACTATAAATCTTGGACATCCTGGCCAGCACCTGTTGGTGAAGGCTTCAGGTAGTTTTAGTCCCAGAACGTCTGTGGATTCATTGGGAAACACTGACCGAAGGGTACTCCCCCCCCCAGTGTGGGCTTGCTATATCGTGCCTTCTGACACATCCTTGAATAAAGGGTGTGTCAGAAGGGAAGCATCTTCCACATCCTTGAATAAAGTCTCCTGATCCTCCCACTCTTAGCATATTTATGTGGAAATCTGCTGGCTGAAACCAACAGGCCATCCAGGGGATGCTAGGTGAGCTCAGGCAGCCTGCTTGGGATGCTCTCTATAGTGATCTTATCACAACTCCCTTTTAACATTACATTACCCATATGATGAATGTATTCTGAAAAAGCAATAGGTGTATTTTGGAATTACTTAGAACCAGGTGTTTACCTCTCATCCTCCCAATGGTTCAACAAGCCAAAGGGGACTTTAGACTGTCATTTCTCCTGATGTCGTTTAGCATAGTGGTCCCCAACCTTGGGCCTCCAGATGTTCTTGGACTATAACTCCCAGAAGCCTTCGCCGCTACCTCTGCTGGCCAGGATTTCTGGGAGTTGAAGTCCAAGAACATCTGGAGGCCCAAGGTTGGAGACCACTGGGGAGCCGTGTAACTGCAGTTTTATTTGGAAGCAATTGTCACAATTTGCAAATTGGCTTGATTCTAGGTAAAGATGGCAGTCTACATTTTAATGGTAGTTTATAAAAGGGAAAGGAGGGGAAAGTTGCTTTTTTAAAATTACAAGTCCCAAAAATCTGCTAATTAGCATGGGCACTGGGATTTTGGGATTGAGTAAAAAAACGAACAAACAACAACCCACTAAGAATAACAGAGCTTCAGAAATTACACTGCTTGCCCAGACACCCACTACATGAGTCTGTTTCTTTGAATCCCAAGTTGATAAAAGATTTTTTTTTGCATGCAACCGTTACAAATTGTGGTTTTCTGACTTTTAAAGGAAAGTAACAGCATAACCACATTCATGGTGGGAAATCTGAGTTTCAGGAACCTTTCTGAACACCTACTAGCTTCCTGTACTTGCCATTTGTTGTCAGCTCCAATGTGAACAGAAACTGCAACATTTGGTGAAGAGCAAAAGATTCTCGCGTGCTAATAAATTAGCAGTTTGGCCTGGAAAATGACTCAACATGGTGTGGGGTTGGTTTAAATAACAGCTGGCAAGCACCCAGGTACAAGCCTGATCTCCTGATACAACAGGCACTTGCAGGGATATTGCCAGATAACAGCCATTTAAGAGTCTTAACAAACAAGTCAATACTAATCTTTGGCAAAGTAATTTTTTTTCCTTGAGAGTCACTTAGGGCAATTATGCTTGGACTTAGGGTCAAGTGAAAAAGTCCCTGCTTGCTCCGTGTGCTCCACCTACCCTTGGTTGTTTCATCAGCTTGTATTTTCCAACTCCCCCTTTAAAAGGCAGAATATTACATGTTCATGTATGGCGCTCTTAGCAAAGTATGTTTATGTAAGTTCAGACTGGAGAAGATGTACATAAAGTGGAAAAGTGGAATCTAAACTGTATTTGTATAGCAGGACTCTATTTCATTTCATTTACATTTACTGTACATTTACATGTACATTTACTGTAACTACCTTGGGTCCTATGGAGGAGAAAGGTGGGGTAAAAACATTTCAATAAATAAATAATATATACTTAAAGAACAGTGTGTAGGGGGAAGAGAGAAAGATGCATTGAAAAAATGCATTCTGTCATATACATTTATGGCAGTATTATTCTTTTGACCTGAAGTTGTGTAGCATTATACCAGTGCTCTAACATAAGTGGCAAAATGTGTTAAATGCTGCTGGGTATCACTGGTAAATATTAGTCATATGTACTGCTTCACATCTGGTAGGATACAGCACAAGCACTCTTGAAGTTTCATACAGTCAGCACTAATGACACACACATTTGAGTTCCTCTTACTGTTTTCATGTGAGCCGTTAACTTTAAAAACATGTAAATTCAGCAAAACTACATGGGAATATATGTAAACAGAAAGAACTCTCATGTATTTTGCATGATAATCTTATCCAGTAATGGTTGTTCCTGCCAACATAAGAGTATGTTTGCTTAGCACAGTGGTTCCTAACCTCGGGCAACCCAGCTGTTCTTGCACTGCAACTCCCAGAAATTCCCAGCATAGCTGATGATGAAGGCTTTTGGAATTTGCAGTCCAAGAACATGTGTGCTATCCAAGGTTGGGAACCACTAGCTTAGCATAATAAAACACCATAGAGTAGTCCCATTGAATCAGTGCAGATTTGGGGAGTCAGTTCCTCTATTAGTTCCATTGATTTAAATTGTGCATCATCAACGAGAAACCAAGGCTAGCAAATACGTATGTTCCAACATGGCTTGTACTGTGGATTTTTGAAGTATTTTGCTTTATAAACATTATAGTCCCTTTTTCACTGAGGAGATTTTTAAAAAGAGGTAAGCTAACCCATTAATATCCAACTTGTTAAGTATCTTAGCTGACTTCAGCTTGATCAGATGGTCAGCTTCTCAGGATCTCGATGAAGCATTTTTGCCTTTCCCTTGTTGTTGGAGGGTTGAAGCCTTTCCACCTTTCTCCAGACAAAATATACTTGCTCCCTGCCGTAGCAAACTTACTTCCCAAAAACCTAAGGCACTATCATTTGCTTCATCACCTTTTCGCCCCTGCATAATTCTAACCTATTCTGGACCAGTTTCATGCCATTTCCTCATGTCAAAACAGGAAGCTATAGGCCCACTCCATATCTGATGGATGGTGATAACTTTGCCCTATTATATATGGTCATCCACATGTTGCTGAAATGATATATCACGTAGACATTGAGAATCTTGTCATGTCTAATTCTTAGCAAGGAAATGAGAAGTTTGTTTATTTTTATTCAAATTGGAAGACTACACCTCCTTGACAACGGCTGGACTAGACAATCCACACAGTTCCATCTAAGCTCTACAGTTGTCAGATTGTTCTTATTCTTATTTCTTGGGGTGATTTTTTTCAAAAGGTTTTTCAGTGTGTGCAAATTTCATCCATTTTTGAACAACCTGATGGCATACCCTTGGCTGCTGTATCTTCTGCACAGTCAATTACTGTTCTGTGCAAATTGTCTCAAAATCTACACAAGAAGAGGTTAATGTATACGTGAGGAGGAGCCTAGAGAATTCCTCATCCTGTTGCAGGGGGTAGGTGGGCTCACTAAAAATGTATTAAAAGTATGAAGGGGGTAAGAAACAGATCAGTAAATAATATATTCTTATTATTCCCTCAGTAAAGAAACCAAGTTGCAAAGCAGTCTCACAAGGCATAAAGGACAATGGGCTACAAAGAAAAGGGGGTTTGTCCTAGGAGATCATCTGGTGCTTTTGTTGAAATAGTGGACAGAGGGAACAGAACATAAAAGAAATGACACCTTTTCTGATAAGTCAACATGACCATCACATTCTGATTGTTGGGGGAAAATCTCCATAAAAGCCCATCCTCAAGGGCATTTGTATTCAGTAAGCAGGATATTCAAGTTGTTGATGGGGAGAGGAACATTGGATGGCATAATATCTAACTTGGGCAGGTTAGTATAAAATGTGGAGCAGCAAAGCTTCTTTTCTATGTATGGTTCAACTTATTTTGCATGTAAAAAATGAGGTAAAAATCTGGGGGATACCAAGCATCTTGTCCTAATGATGATTAATCTTTCAGACACAGAAGGTTTTGGTGTTGTGAGGGTAGGAAAATCATGGTTTTCTCCCAAATCTGGAGGTCCCAAGTTGTCAATCCCTGGTTTAAGCAACAACTCTTGAAAAATGGATACCTACCTTTATTTCCTGGGCTGCCATTTTGATTTCTTGGATGCACTTATGTTATGAAATAGCACACTGTCCCATTCTGTTAGACTCCAGACCTTTGCAAAATTCATGCACTTCTGCAGTGTTAATTTCCTGTGTGGAAAACTGGCTAAACCAAGCATTGGGTTAGGTACAACCCTCTGAACTCTAGTAGACATTTAAAGAGCGACACTTCCACACCAAAGTAGTTTATTTATGACATACTTTTTATTGACATTAATATTTGCTTCTAGTTTGAACCTTGGCTGCTCAATGAAATTTATAAATGGTGACAGCACAACCTCTCCAGAAGAAAATGCTGATAATACAACACTCTCCCATTAAATCCTCTCAGAGTCAATTCCTGTAAAAACTAATTGCCTGCTCTTTTTATAGAATTAATTTGTGCGGGAAATGAAGTTTTACCATAACAGAATTAATACAAAACACTAGCTAATTATTAATGTTGGTATATTTCTAAACTACTGAACATAAAGACAATAAACTGTGAATGCAATCATGAATTCCTACATGGATTCAAGCCAAGAAAATTAGAACTCGTCCACAGCCATCTGAATAATCACATCTGATCTGCATTATTTCTTAGTTATTACATGCGCAAGTGATTCAAGTTTGTACATTGCCTAATTTTTATTTCAATGCAAACATATTTTTGTAAGCATTTTACATGGGGTAGAGCTGGTTTTGTACAATGTCTCTATTTCACATCTGAAATAGAAGCCAACTGATTTATCAATTTGATTGGTTGACCGGTTTGAAAATGTCAGCATAGTAACCATCGCTTAAGAGAAGAAAACATATTGTAAACCTCCCCAAACACTAAGAAATACTTGCCTGAAAGAGCTTATAGTCTGGGATAAGTAGACAAAAGATAATGATCAGAAGCCCCAAATGTAACTGATACTCCTCATCCCAAACTGATACTGTTTGGGATGAGGAGAGGGAGGACTATAGACTAAATAAATTTTCAAAAGGGAGGGGAAAGAGAGCTACTAATCAACATGAACTGGAAAATGACAGTTTATCTCACATGGATTCAGTACATTGGTGGGAGAACTAGAGGTACCTTCTTTCTTAGGGAGGTCGACTCCTGCATGGAGAATCATGGAACTGATTGCATCCACCATAGCCTTACCTCAAGATGATTTACTCAACACTGCCCCTGATCTAAGCCTTTAAGAGACCTGGTTTTGGCTTTTCTTATCCACTATTCTGCTCTGGAGCCATCAAGTGGTTGCTAAGGAGGCAGTGAATTGGTCCTGTTTCTGCTACTTCTTACTCATAATGATAATGCCATAACTGTTGTTGCCTTCATCACTGAAGTATTTTTGGTAAATTTGAATCTTAGTAGTCTTTTGCCATATGAGCTCTGTAAAATCTTTTGGGAAGATGCTCTGTGAAAGCTTAAGGCATCCATCTAAAATCATGGCATTGCTTTCTGTGGTGCTGTCCACATGCAGGGGCTTCTTTCTTGCCAGCTAGGGGCAGGAGAGTGACTTGTGCCTGGAACCCCCATGAATATGTAGAAAGTGTCCCTTCGGAGTAGAGCACAGAGAAGTGCCTGTTCACAGCATGTGTGTGATATTCTCTTTACCTCTCCTTATTTAGCAATATTTTTTTTAAGAAATAGAATGTTACATGAGAAGCTTTCTCAAAACACGACCAAAGGAACAAAGCCATTTCTTAAGGACTTAGCTCCCATCTCCTTCACTTTCTTCTCCTTTATGGTCCTAGATCAACATATGAAGTGCAGAATAAATGCTGATTAACCTTTCTTTTCTGCCAGAAAAAAAAGCTGGTTTGGCTTTACTCTTAACCCTGTAAAAATTAAATGTGTTCACGCCAGCAGCAAATACATTGATGCCAAAAAAAGTAGTTTAAAAAATTCCTCTTTAAGATGCTAACAAATTTACTTACAAACACCTATATTTATTATTTCATAAATAGGCGCAACAGCTTCCATAAAAAAAGATTAAATACAGACACAGTATGAAGAAACAATAATACATAGCCATATGTAAAGGTTATAATTTAGCTGTTTCCAATCTGTTTCTGCATCTAATAAAATATCAAGAAAGCATTTGGCAGTTTTATACATAAGAGGACGTAAATGACGTTTACTAACTGTTACACATAAAGTGATAAAAAAGCAGTTTTAGGCAGTACAAAATAAATGTGTTTGCTCTTTTCCCAACACTAGACTTCTTTTTTTTGTATAACGACACAGAGCCAATTTCTGTTTAATTAAATTCATTTGGGAATAATTTTCCTTTTTTTTTCCTTTCAAAGAGTCTGAAAATATAGAACTATTAGTCAGTTGCTTATAAATGAAGTAAAAATATGAATGTTTGCCAATTTAACCCCCTTTGTGAAATCAATAAACTGGAATGAGCCAGTTTCAAATTACAATTAGCTACAAAAACATTCACATTTTATACTCTAGGAGAGTGTAACATAGATGCTATTTACAAACTTGCTATGACTGCTACATCAAGCCATTTAAAAAGTCTTTAGTAGTTTCATATAAACACCCATTATGAAAACCAATGGAAAATCCAGGACTTTTATCCAAGACATCTACAGTTGCTAAGGCAGTTACTAGCGCAGCACTTCACAGCAAAAATAAAACCAACATAAGATCTGAATGGTCCAGGCCTCCTTCCTTTAAGGAATGAAGAAAAGCAACGTCCATTAAAGGATGTGGAAGGTGAAAGAAAAAGAAAGAAAGGGGTGGAGGAAGGAGCAAGACTAATATTTTTTTCCCAGAGTGAATAACCCACCAGATCAAATAGTCCTAAGTGCTTAGCAGCTTATATTTTCTAAATAGATGCTCAACTGCCTTGACTGCATAAAGCAGTCTGTGATGGAGCGACTTCCCTGCATTCCTCAGTGGATAGAAGAGGTGCTACACCAAAACGTGTTCAGGTAAGGTACAATGCTTTGTCCCTCTGCATGGCCCTGTTGAGAAAGAGATGGTGGTGATGGGGAGATAAAAGAAAAACAGTTAGTGCTAACACTCAAAAATCACATATTCAGTAGATAAGAAATCACCGATTTGATGTCTTCAGAAGGCGACAGCAAGATCTAGTATATGATCAGCGGAATGTTCGACTGAACTTTGGTTAAATTTCATATCTGTCCTGCTCTTGCTGTTCGGAAGAGTACTATTTTGGTACTGAAGAGAAATATTTGAGGGGAAAATCCAAGGTTTTCCTCCCCCCCCCCACCACTTTTGGAATAACAGAAGCAGGGCAGGAAACATACTTTTTTTTCACAGAGAAAAATCTGAATCTCCTTACTCTACTATTGAAATACTGAATGCTGTGTGGAGCACAATGATCTGGGTGCCACCAGCACCAAATAGTTAAATTCCATCTCTAGATGGGCACGTGAGGTTTGGCTTTAGACATGTGAAACTCCAATCATGCACCTGAGGGCACCAATGGAGGCCCTTCCTGAAAACTGGCTACAATGAGAAGAAGAAACTAGCAATCAGTATGGACTGCTGTTCATATGAGCAGAAGTGTCTTCTGTTCATGTGCACAAGTATGTTGGATCCCACACTGTGTTTGGAACAGAAAGCTGGGTTACATTTGGGTGAAATGAGCCCCTGATCCATCTATCAGAATCTAAAGTTTTCTACCCAAAAAGGTATATGTTAAAAGAAGTACTGTCTACAATAAGCATAGAAATACAAGGTTTAGGAGGCAGCAACCTTAGTAGACGGTACTGTTCCTTCTCTGAATCCTTTAAAGATGTGTTTACAAGTTCTCAGTTTCAGGCCAAAGAGAGTAAGCCATGCCATCAAAGACACAGCTGAACAGGCAAACTATCTCAACCCACCCACATCATGGTAGTTCAACATAAATACTTGCGATATACCTCACAAACACAAACTTTCAATAAAAGCATACTGTGCCATATAAAAATTAAAAAAGGCCTCTTCAATTGGACATAAGCAGAATTCTGCCTTAATGAAGTAAACTGGCCTATAGACATCTTCCAGCATACAAATCTATTTACTTTTGCCTTTCCCTGTAGTAAATGAATGGTTAAGGATATGAGCATGAGCATGGTTTGAGTATTAAGCATGATTCAAAAATACATCAAGCCTCTCTTCCAGGTCTTTTCCTGCTGAAGATAAAATTATCCCAACGCCTGCGCCATACCACTGAGAGATTGTGAGGGGTGCTGAGGCTTCTTATGGTGTGACCATAAGAAGACAACTTGTGCAAACCCAACAGAGCATGTGCTGACTCCTCTCTGTGTAGACTGACTGTGCACACAGTGGGGCCCTTGTGTCAATCTTCCCTTTGTATGAGTGTAACATTCAGACCCAGTTTTCTATTTTTGTCCTCAGTATTAGTGAAGAGTGGGAGTTATCTAAATTTATGTATATCACTGCAGATCTGTCTTCCTAAATAACATTCAGAATAGTGAAGCTGTACTTGTCTTATACCTACAAACAAGCAAGCTACTACTTGTTCATTCATGTTTTCACCAGAGAATTATTAGTAAACAAAGGCATCGTAATCTTGTAATCTCCTCTAGGCAATAAATATAAAACATAGATACTATAATTATTCCTCAGTCTTTGTTATGAATTTTAGTCAACACACGATGGCATTCACTGGCTGCTCACCCATTACTGCAGTAATCATTATTCCAGTCCACACTTTGTGCTGGGGGATTTCTGCACCCTGAACGAACATACTCCATTGCTTGGGTAACAACTTGCGCAGCTGTAGATGTTGGGTTGATAATATTCTGGTAATCAGGCTGGAGAGTAAAACCCTTTAAAAAATGAAAGCAAAATACGGCTTGATCGTCCAAGTTAACCTCTGAAGTGCAAGTCTTGACAAAGTACCAAGTTGTACATCTACCTTCTCAGATTTGAAACAAGAGAAAAAAACAGAAAGATGCTTGTGCCTTTTCAAACAATAATTTTAATTGGTTGAGAAGGAAGGCTGGATAGCACACTGCACGAGTGCAGAACTCCGAGACAAAGAACAGAGACATTTTAAAGTCATGAAAAACAACTCATTCAATACAGGAAAATAAAAGCAAGGTCTGTGTGTTTCTTATTTTGATTCAACTGAAGGATACACTAGTAGTTAATTCCAAGAATATGCAACAGAATCTTTTTGAAGGATGGAGGCAGCAGGTGGCTGAGTGTTTTATTAGACTACACCTATTCACAATTATTGTTCTCAAACCCCTTTTATTTGGTTCAGTCACAAAAGGACCATCTGCTGCTTCTTTTATTTGCACTTCTTTCTCAACTACACAAAAAATCAACTCAAGCTTTTTAACAGTTGTTAGACTAATGTAGCAAAAAGCAGGCAAAGAAATTCAACTTGCTGTTGTTTTCAGCCAGAATTGAGCATGCCTAAATGTTGTTTGCTAAAATCAGCAGAACTGATCAGATTTTCAAGAATAGTTTTCACTGATTTTCTGTACAGTAGTTAAATTAGATAAACAAAGAATGCTGCTGCAGGGCTAGGATCAGTATATAGTGCATCATAATAAACAAACTACTGCTGTTCAGAGGACAGAGTACACTGGTCTAAACAGTTAAATCTCTGAAGGACACTGGAAGAAGATATACTATCTAAAACATGGATGGGAAATTTGCTTGGAACCTCATGTATTTTTGGAAGCAAATTACATTTGACAAAAATATCAATTGGCTAATTTAAATCAGGAGGGTTGATTTTACTTGAACCTGGGTACAAATTCTTTGCAAAACTGTGTGGAAAAAGACTAACAGTTCAGATATACTTCAGTTTTAGAATGGGGAGGAAGCCTGAAGCATTCCACGTGGTGAACCAAAACTCCCATTAGCTCCAATCTGACATATTCTTGGGGTGAAAGGCTTGTCATCTATGTTCCAAGAAGACTTCTAAACAATGTCTCAAAATCTTACTGATTTACTCTTTCCAGATGTTTTTCTGTATACAAAAAGCTCCTGGAATGAAATATTTTCTCAAAACCAAACAAATTGTTCATTTGGTGAAACCTACAGTACCTACCTACCTACCTACCTACCTACCTACCTACCTACCTACCTACCTACCTACCTACCTACCTACCTACCTACCTACCTACCTACCTACCTACCTACCTACCTACCTACCTACCTACCTACCTGGTGTTATCCAACAGTAACATGTCAGAATATATATTTTCCAACAAGATCTGATTGTGGGAAGGAATTTGAGTTTTGAAAACAAAAAATAAGGCAGGACAAAAAAAAGTTGAAATGTCATTATTTGCTATGGACATTTTTGATCCTATTCAGAAAAGATCTAATCTGTTGTTCCAGATGATGGGAAATATTAAGTTTTATATTAACTGTTATAAAAATGCTGCACAATACAAATAAGTCTTTGTAATCATGCACACGGATTTGTTTGGGGATCATTTCATTACCCTGATGAATCCAAATGTGGGCTGGGACAATAAAACATTCCTAAAGCACTGATTAGCGTATTTAGTTTTGATTCATGGTTAAAACACAAACACACACTGTTACCTAAGAACTAACTAACGTTTTCACTATACTAGAACAATCTACAGTATTGGTTGAGTCCTAGTTTAATGCTAGTTCCACACTGGTGAACAAAAGGCAGCCTTGGTAACTGTCATCCTCTTCCCTTACTCTTTTTGTGAATATTCTCTGCTAGCCAACCATAAACAGTTTACTAGTAACAATGTTAATCTGAGTTAAGGTCAACTATGGCTTCACTTTCACCAGGATCTGATGTTGCTATTTGTCTTTCTTTCATTTGTTTGCAGTGAAAATAAGAATATATGTATGGAATACATGTAAATAAAACAAAGACAAACAAAGGAAGCTATATAGAAGATGCTGGAAGCTAAGCAGGGTTGGTCTCAGTTAGTACTTTGATGGGAGAACATCGGGGGATACCAGGGATTTCCAGGCATGCCTAGAAGAGAGTAGTGCCTGGACAGCTGTCAAAACTGGCCTAGATAAACCAATGGTCTGATTCAGTGGATGAAACTCTGTCGCTTAGTGTTGCAAACTGCCACTAGAGTAGGCCAACTAAATCAATAGGGATTTGAGTCATCTCTTATGGAAGTTTAATGGACCTACTTTAATTGCCGCTCATTAATCTAAGCAACATGATTTCAGCTGGTATAAAGTGGCTGTCCTGCAGAAACAGGAGATAAGAGTTAGTCTGAACTGCAGTTGGTTCTGGAAGCCTTTCCCTGCTCTGTTCTACCTAAATCAATACTGGCAAAGTTACAGTTGCATGATTCAGAATGCAACTTTACCTGTTGTGTCCCCAATCAAGTTCAAGGTTTTGATGTTCACCTATAAAGCCCTCCACAGTTTGGGACTTTGTTACTTCTCAGAGTGTATTTTTCCAAGATGATCCTCCAATGCCACAAGATCATCCCAGGAAATGCTCCTCTGGGTGGCAACTCCAAAGGAGGTCAGACTATTTGTTTCTTCCAAGAACATCTGCAACTGATCAGCTACCATACTCTCATTAACTCACCCAAGAAAGGAATATCTGAGATGGGTTTATTATTGTTTAAATTGTCCATTACCAAATTAGTTTTCTTAAGAATGCTTCCTTGTGTTTGCCTGAAGTTCCACAGAGCACTTAGGCCCACTGATCAGTTCTACCTAAACTGTGATTATCATGTGGGGTGGGGGCAAAATCTGCAGGAACAGTAAGGATGTTACAGAATGAAAAGATATGGCTAAAAATTATAAGGTATGGCTAAAAATAATGATAAGCTATGGCTTAAAAATGAGCTTTCTTTAATCATTCTCTGTAACAGTCGAATTTTGCTCCAAATATTATACAAAGTTGAAGACACTAATAACCCAAATCTATTATTATTTGTTTTGAAATATCCTCCACCAGTGTTCAGTGAGTCTTAATACCAGTTAAATGTGCAGAAGGTTACACCCTGAATCGACTAGACTTTATAAACAATGCAACCAAAATCAGGTTACAGTCAAACAAAACAAGCATACATGTAAACATAAAGCTAGGTTAGGAAATACACGCAGAAAGGAGGCCATGAGGGCTTATCTAAGCTGGACAGCCTGCACTGCAAATGTAGCTATGCCGAACATTACTGAACTGTCAGGGCAGGACAACAAATACTGTATATACTCCTATCCATGTTGCTGAGATTCACAACTGGCACTAGGAATTTCTTTTTTTACCTAGGTATTTCATATAATTCACAGTATCACAGTGTTTGGTGTCCTATAGCCTAACGATCATATTGCGATGCTCTCCTTTTTGGACAGCTTTTTTCCCCTATACCTTGAATCATAAAGTATGTTTCACACATAAAGTGTGTTTCAGTGAAGTGGCAAAACTCACAATGAATTGCGTCTACTCATGAGTCAAAGCATGGACTGTAGCAGAGAATGGGAAATAGAGCATGCATTTTGTAAATGTAATTCCTCCAGCTGTCAAGCGGGTAGGTGATTTGATATTTCTATTGAAATTGCTTTGGAACTGTCTAATTTGATGTTTATATTGGAACTGTCAGCTCGGATTAGTAGCTTTTCCTATATTTTTACTAATTGTTTTCACCTATTTTTGTTTCTTGCTCTGTATGCAAACCTAGTAATCGATAGTGAGTAAAAGCAATAAACAAAATGTATCACACCATAGTAAATAGCCATTTTAACTTTGCATTATTAGAATTCCTATTACTGAAAACAAGACAGTAAGAAAACAAGTAGTATCTCCTCTTCACTTTTGACATTTATCATGTTGTTGATAATGCTTGCTGAAAATGTAGTATATGGCAAATCTAATCAATTAATTAATTTCTGAAATGTATTTATTTATTTGATTTATAGACCACCTCATTGGTGCAAGCTCTACCCTGGGTGGTTTACAAGGTAAAACTTAAAAATCACACAGATCCCACATAAAAATATGTATAACAATATGGTGATCAAAAGAAATAATAGTAATAAAACAAAGAAAATAGAGAACAAGACCAAAAATATTAATAGCACCCGGGAGACTCATTTGTGAAATGCAAAACCAAAATGAGAGAGAGGGAGAGGTTTAAACCCCAATTTTGGTAACCATCCCATGAAAAGTACAACATATGTGTGCCGCTCAGATGCAGAAATATTTTAATAATATTATATGTAAGGGCTTTGTAAACAGTGATGTAATTAAAACAACAAAAAGAAAAAATGAATGCTGTGTAGCCTAATGAGACAATGCCAAACATAAAATCAGCAACTGTTTTGTGACATGCCTTGAATTTTAAGTTTCATTTTCTTACCTCAGAGTGAAATAAAAATAGGGAACTTGATAAAGATTAATTTGATGTCAGATGGGACATTTGCTCTTTAATTAGATTTCTGTGTCCCTCGCTGCGGGTTTTGTGTGCCGACTGCAAGCAACTACTAAAAAGCCTCCAGCAGAACCTAAACTGCGATCCTCATCTCTACACTTTAGCAAGAACTAATTTCATTTCCTGCCTGTCTGGAAAGGAATTTTCAACAGGCATCAATGTTTTTGTCTTTAAAACTGATTTATTCATCAATCTCAATGTGATGTTTTTTAAACCTTTAAATTACATCCAAATCCTAAAGCATCTGTTTATTACACACGGAAATTGAAAAATCTGTTTGTGCGATATCATACAAAGATTTTTCCCTTAAGGTTATAAGGACAGTTGACAGATATTAATGATTTTTTCCCCTCCTCTCCTTAACCATATTGTGAAACATGGTGTAGGGGGAAAATAGTGATGGGAGGAAAGGAGTAGGGGGAAAAATACACTTTGCCAAATAAATTATTGAATTAAAAAAAGGCAGGCCAGAGGATACTGCAGTTTGCTACAAGGCTATGTATGCTATCATATTATTACAGAAAGTGACTGTAAAAATAACATATAAAACAAAAGATTGAGATAACATCTGTATTTTATATCGCCTTTTCAAAATTAATATGCCGAGGTTACATTCTGCCAGGGAAAAATACAGGCCTATCATTCACAATGTGGAAAAGTAAGAAATGAAATTAGTATTTGAATATTCGTGTGATAAAACAGGAGAGTGAACAGCATGCAAGACATATGCAGACATAGGTATATGCACATGATGTCTACCTCTCATTATGAGATAAATAATTGATGATGATGGTGTGTGTGTGTCTGCCTGCTATAGCTTCAACACCATGAAACCTAGACACTTGAAATTTGGCATGAATACTGAGGTGCCCCAAGGATGTGGACTTTGAATTTACTTTGTTTCTAAAATTAGCTGAATATATTAAGTTCATTAAAATCTGGCTACAGCCCATGGTACCATTTTTAGTCACCTGGTGACAAAAATCCCTACTCCATTCCAGAGACAGATAAGGAGACATGCTTGAGATATTCAGTTCTCCACAGGCAGCTCCATGTGTTACTTCTCTTGACTGGGCTACAAACTCTTCAGATAAATCGGGGGGGGCAGGGAGAGGGAGTGAGTTCTGGTATATGGGAGGTTGGGGGAAGAAAATGAGCAGGGGGCAGTCTGAATATGCATCAGGGTGGAGAGGGAAGGAAAGTGTAGAGAGAAAGGAAATGGGGGGTTGAATAAGAGAAAAGCAGAAGTCAAAAAGTACTAATATTCTTTAGAGATAAAGTTGCAGTTTCATTTTTCTATATAGTCTGTAGGCATCTTTATGTCACGCTTCCCTCTGCAGAGTTCTTCCAAACTCTTCAGGCAGTTAAAAAAGAAAGTCAGAGGGAAAACATGAGAAGGTCTGCTAGTGGAAGAGGAATGGGAGCTGAAATGAGTAGCAGGAAAGTTTGACCAAATGCGAGCATGGATGAACAGAAAATAGAAATAGTGCAACAAGAGTAAAATCAGTGGCAAAGAAAGTGGAGAATGGAAAGTACAGGAGTTTCTAACCCTTGCAAAGATGAGTAATTTTTCTAGTACAGTGGTGCCCCGCTTAACCCTTACCCTGCTTGATGACAAATCCACTTCACGATGAAGTTTTTGCGATCACTTTTGCGATCGCAAAATGATATTTGAATTGGGGTTTTTCGCTTTGTGATGATCGGTCCCCTGCTTCGGGAACCAATTCTTCACATTACAACGATCAAAAACAGCTAATCGTCGGGTTTCAAAATGGCCACTGGGTGTACAAAATGGCTCCCCGCTGTGCTTAGGAAGGCTTTTTCACAAGACAGGGAGCAGAAAATGGCCACCCTATGGAGGATCTTCGCTGGACAGTGAGTCATTCAGCCAACTGGAATGCATTGAATGGGGTTTCAATGCATTTCAATGGGAATTTTTTATTTTGCTTGATGAGGATATCGCTTAACAGCAATTTTGCTGGAACGGATTATCCTTGTCAAGCGAGACACCACTGTAAATTATATAAATAATATTCCAAGATTGGCAGCTTTAGTTAACTGAAAAATGTAACAAGTGATTTGTCACTTAAGGAAGATCTATACACTTCAATCATCTAGCATAGCCTTCCCGTATCTAGTGCCCCCCTCCAATGTGTCATATTGCAGCTCATCATTCCCCATCTTGCATGGTACTCCAGGAGGTAATTCTGAGATTGTATAGCTCTGGTTAAAATCTATTCCGAAAGCATTTTCAAATCTGCTCAAATGCACAGGAGTTATTCTCTGACATAAATCTGTAAACAGTATGTATGTATGCACATGTAAGCTGCATTTTATTAGAAGGTAGATTTTAACTTTTTTATAGATGAGTTTTTTTAAATGACATGCAAGGATACTGATTTATATTAGAAGCATTTGCATTACCAAGAGTCACACAATAGAGGCAGAGGCAGCCACATTTCTGTTCTTGGAAACACAACTAAATACCTTTTAAAAAATTGCCCATTAGAGATCCTTGACTATGTAATATCTTTTGTTTTCAATGGCCAGAAGGTTTTATGAACAAATCTCTATAAGCAATGGACAATATAAAAAAACTTGGCTAAGTCAACTAAAATTATTTTCAGTTCCCTCTATTAATGAACCTTGTGATTTAGAAGGTAACATTTGACACATTATATATAAGAAACACCAGACAGAGGCAATCATCTTAGAAGAACCAGCAACACAATAGATTCCTTATACCAGATATAAGTTAAAGCACATTCAAAAATAATTGGGGAAAGTTATGTACATCAACATTCTAAATTAACTGTCACCACTTATGAGAAAAGGCTGTGCACCTAAGTGTACACTAAATGGAAACATCTGAATAATGCAGTGTCAGTTGAGTTAAAAGAGTCTTCCAACAGGATATAGCACAGATCAAAGCACTTCTTCCATGTTGTGATATAAATGGAAGGCATGTCTCTTATGGTCTATTTGATATTGAAAAGGTATTGCAGAAAAGACCCAGATGAAAAGAAATGGGCTCTTAAGTTTGAGGGCTGAGGAGTATTTTCATGTGCTGTTTAAAACCTCAGTAACAGTTATTTGAATATTCTTCGGTATCTCTGGTCAGAATCTCATTGAGATTTTACTGTAGAATAAATGAAATTATGCAAGACCTGCCAATAAATTTCATGTAATTAACAAAATGTGCATTGTGGGTCTGTCATGAACACAAATAGCACTTTGTTAACCAGAAGCAGTTTGGCACCATGACTGACATGATTTTCATTTACTCTGGAGTAAAATCCTTATATAATTCTGGCCTTTGATGAACAAAGGAAGAAAGCATACCACACTTTAAAATGACCTATGTTAGGAACTGGGGTTCTAACCATCACGACTTTTTCCTCCTGCTCATTTTAAACCATTGTTCTTGCGTGCCACCAAGTTGCCTCCACGTTACAGCACTCTATGAAAGACAGACCTCCAAAATGCCCTACATTTAACAATCCTACTCAGCTCTGCTCAGCTCAACTCAGCTTTATTACATTGTATTGGACTTCCTTTCTTTCCTGCTAATTTCAACTTGTCCTAGATTACTCCTTTCCAACAAGTCACGTCTCATTTCACCTAAAATACAACTGCCTTTATTATTCCAGATCAGGGGTCTCCAAACTACAGCCTGCGGGCCACATCTGGCCTGCTTTGCCTTTTTATCCAGCCCAGTGAATGCTGCAGGCTCAGATCTATTCCCCTCAGCCTTTCAGCCCTCAAAAACATGTATATATATATCCCATTCCATAGCCCATGTAGGTGGTTATTTCTTATATGTCTAGTGCTATGCCAAAAAGAAGTGGAATAGCTCTAAAAAGGGGCCAGCAGGATGGTTCACTCTAAGCCAAAACATCACAATTTTTTTGAACCAAACAGCACCAAAAGAAGTCCAAATGGCAAGCTCACTGCCTTGAAAGAGATGGGCATGTTTAGCTGGGAAAACAGAAGACTACGGGGAGATTTGATAGTACTTTTCAAATTCTTGAAAGACTGTCATACAGAAGATTTGTGCTTAATCATCCCAAATTGCAGGACAAGTAATAATGAGCTCAAATTATAGGAATAACCTTATTATTCTATGGTAAGTGTTTGTTCCATGCAGGAGGCCCCTGGCATCTTTAACTGAATGACATAAGCCTTCATGTGAGTCTTCGGAGAGCTACTGCTACACACAGGAAAGGAACACAGGAACAGAAAGATAAATGGTCTGAGTAGGTGAAAACGTTAACACAAGTATGAAGCAATCACAAACTTAGAATTGGGAATGGATGTGACTCAAGCTTGCAGTCATATAGCTTTCCCAACCCAAGTTATCCAAATAACAACAACAACAACAACAACAACAACAACAACAACAACAACAACAACAACAACAACAACAACAATAAGGGTGCCAAGGAATGAGTGTATGGGTGCTTTACTCCCAAATTTCAGAGTTGGTGAGGGGACCTAAAATTTGGGGGTGCTTCCCTGTTCTGGTCACAAGTCATTTATGCTATCTTTGTCATGCTGGCCCATAAATTATTTCCACACAAATTGGTATCTCTGATACCAATATCAGTAGCAATGCATAGCCTCCGGGGACTACTGCAGCTGCAGTTTGATATCTGGAGTGCAGAAGCAATGAAGGTAGGAAAGCCACACTGTCATCAATGAAGTGTTAAATTGATCAGAGATTTTAGAGACTGAAAACATAGACTTACTTGTTGCAGTGTAGGAGAATGCAAAGCTGACTGAACCTGCATTGGTAGCTGGTTTCCAATTGACTGCTGCATTGTAAGTGGCTGGTGTGGTTGTATACTGAGATGCGGGTGAATGGGAGGACTCATCTGAAGTGATGGAGGTGGAGACACAGCCATGTTGGCTATGGAAACAGTCACTGGCATTTGGTTGTTTGGCTTAGGCGCTATGTTCCGAGGAATATTGGGATGTATGGCTGTTATGTGAGGATTCATCCCTGCTTGTTGGTGGTAGTGGGAACTTAGATACAAGGCTGAATGAGGCTGCGTAGATCCGTGGAATACTGGCTGCTTTGTGTTCATCATCTGAGGTTGTTGGGATACCTTAACATCCACAGGTTCATTGTAGCTCTGTTCAGGGAGGGGAGGGGAAAAGGAATAAAAGACAACCAGATAATTCTTAAAAGGTGATACATGCTATTATCCCTGACAGGCACAATAACTGATCACAGGTACTGGCTCTTAAGCTTGCCCTACTTTGCTAGTGACAAAAGAACTAAAGAAACTATAGCAGAAGCCTGCAATGTTCTGCTACATTCAACAAAATATATATGACCAAAAAAAGTATTTTTTTCTTTAAGCTTAAGATGTATTATCTAGTTCAACATGGTTTACCAAATAATCCATCAAATTACTATTAAGACGTAACTATGGCACTTCAAAATAAAAATTAATCTACAATGCATAATAATATTGAAAAACCAAAATCAAAAACAAATGTTTCTCTTAGGCCTGAATATTAAAAGCAAAGCAAAGTGTGCTGCTTATATACCGCCTCATAGCGCTTCAAGCACTCTCTGGGCGGCTTACAAGTTAATTATGCAGGCTACACATCCCCCCCCAGCAATGTGTTTGGATGCATTAAAGGTGCATTCAAACACACTGCTGTGCATAGCCTTTAAAACCAAGCCAGAAATTAGACATTGGCAAGTCATGGACATGTCCAGCCAGGTAATATATTACATATTTACTTGGATGGGGCAGTTGCTATTCCTGAAAGAGCAGCCAAATGTATCCCTGATGCTGTTCCTCTCCTCAATTGACTGCCTCTTTCTATCTCTTTATTAGTTTTGTTTTTTTAAGCAAGTCTTGCTAGTTGTTTCCATTCACAAAAACTACAGGACAGCAATATGCATACTCTCCATGGATTTTTTCTCTCTGATACCAGGTGTTTGTGTGAGCTTTTTAGTAATGCATGCAACTGTGAATAAGGGTGGGACACAAATAAATGAGCTGTCTAGAACAGCATCCCCTCTAAAGTATGGCTCAAGGAGATAAACAACATGGAGGTGGGCTGTTCATTACTGAAATAAATTGCCATGTAACTCTGCATCACACTACGATTTACTTATTTTGAGAAGGCATTCCAGAGGTGTGGTGCTACCACAGAAAAGGCCTTCCCCTTCCAAATGTGCCTTCTGTAAGGAAAACACTTGGAGAAGGGACTCTGTAGAGGATCTTAAAGCATAGGCAGACCTTTGTGTGAAATGATGCTCCTTCACATACTGGATTCCTAAGTATTTACAAATTCTTTAGAAGTAAGTTTCAGACCTTGAGTTTGATTCTCTCCCCTCCTCAAAAAATAGACAACCAGTTCAATTATTTTAAGATTAGTTTAGTTAGATCTCTGCCAGTTACATTCTGCACCTTTGCACTCACAGGAAGCTATCAGAGCATAGATCACCATCACGCTAGCAGATAAGCTTTTCCTCGTAGGGCATGTGTTCCCAGACTTTAGCGTCTCAGATACATTTGACTATATTCTTTCGAGTTTGAAGACGGGGAGTGCGTAGAGACCAGTTCCTAGATTATTAAATGTTAACCATTTCTGGCCTTGGAGAATGCCCCAGAACTTCCTAATACTCATTCCTGTTCCATATCTTGCAAACAATGGCAATTGCAGTCTCCTTTATACTTGAAGTAGAAGTCAAGAAGGATAAGTCTACAGTGCTCTGTCTCTAGATCTGTTGGTGACCGATTAGTTCTGATTCTACAGTGAGGTCAATGCAAGCTTTAAAAAATTACCTCCACAAGGTGCAAGTTTACAAAATTCAATAGCATTACAGACATTTAAGGCTAGAAAACAATGAGCTAGGAATATATTTTTATTTGCTACTTAGAATTATGAGGATTTAAAAAAAAACAACTAATAACTTGCCTTTAACATTTAAAACATGAATTTGCATCAATTTTGCTCAGTTTCCAACACTGTGATATATTTCATCACAGCTGACTTCTAAACTATATGTGCTCATATAAATCCAGCAAGGAGTAAGAGATTATCTCCCAAGGGCTTGCCGATGGATATGTACCGGAATAATAATTCATCTCTTAAGAAAAAGTTGAATGAATAACCAGTGAAAGGTGAAACATGCATGAAAAAAAAAGAATATAAAATGTTCCGTTGAAAAAAGGTGTACAGTGTCAAAACAAGGGTTGGAAGATGCATATATGCCCTTATTCTATAACCTCCATGTCACATTTGCTCTGTTTACAAGTCAAAATAAGTTTAACATTACTCCAGGCACTCTGGGGTCACTGGAGCTTGTGAAGAACCATTTGTATTCCTTTTGATGTACATCCCATCACCGCCAAACAACCAATATGCACATAAGAGAAATTGGTTCATTATGTGCAATGATATACAATGAAAAAGATGATAACTTCATCTGCCCAAGTCAAGCTGTAGTAATGATAGCAACAAAAATGTATTTTCCCCAGTAAACAAATGAAAATTAAATGGAAATGATAAAGGAAATTCAGTTCTCTGTGCATAGCTAAGAATGTGCATTCCGCTCACAGTATACTCAGATGGAAAATGTTTCTTTATTTTATTATAATGGGATGAAAAAAAGATAATGGAATAAGTTAGTGGGAGTTCAACTTCTCGTATTCTCTAAAGTTACTTTAAAATGTGGGTAACTGGTCAGCTTTGCTCCATATTGTCTAGCCAAGTGTTACATATATACACTGATGGTATATATGTGTCTAACCGGAAGTGTGTCCCAATGAATACAATGGGACATAAGATCTACTGAAGTATTTGTACACCTAAATGGGATATGAGGATTTGAGTGACACATAAACCCCAAGTCTCCATGCACCCAGAACTTTTGTGTATTGTGTGCAATCATCTCCCTTCACCTGAACATGGTTACACAGCTCTTACAACTGGAATAGGTACCTTATCAGAATCCCCAGCTATTTTTATATCTTTCTTTTAGCCCTCCACATCTGCATTGACCTTTTCGAATACTTGTACACCTATTGTTTTTAGCTTTAAATATTGTCTTTTAAGGATGTAAGCAGTCTTTTAAAGGAGAAAAGCAGGGTAAATATCTTTTAAATAAAATAAAATAAATAAACACTCTCAAGGAAGTATGTATAGAATTGCAGCCTAACAGAATCAAAATCCCTGCTCCCATGATGTTCTCAGCTAAACTCGAAAGGCCATCAATAAACGTACTGTTTCAAAAATAATATTGCAAAAATAACATTCATGACTATTTCATTTGTTAAACATTGTTATTTATTAATATTTACTCTTCAGAAGGCATACATGCTTGCACATTCCTTCCCATAAAAAGAAAATACAAGCCTTCGACTGAGAAACATTATAACCTACAGTACAAGTTTGAGAACCATGGATCTGTACTGTGCTAGTAGCTCCTTAACAACTTTCTTGGCAGAATAGCTTTGAACATAAATGGAGAGCTAAAAGTAATCTCCGATTTAGGTTGCATTTAGTTCAAAATATCACATTATTTCAAATACATATGGGACTACTTGAACTAGATTATATTTTCCTCAGCAACTAGGAAGGACAAAGAGTAAGATTATGCATCTTTGTGCTGTAATTTCTTACCACTTTGCAGTGCAAATGTTTTGGACTTCCAACTCCTATCAGCACCTGACAGGATAGATAATGGCCAGGAATGCTAGAACACATACAGTAGTCTTAAACATCTGGAAAGCACTAAGTTGGGAATGTGGCAATAAATGATGCCTCTACACTTCCACGGGCTCAAAAGTGAAGTAGTTGGGGAAAAGCAAGGAGTGAGCAATAAATGATGCCTCTAAACTTCCACGGGCTCAAAAGCAGTGAAGTAGTTGGGGAAATGCAAGGAGTGGCAGATGAGATGGAGTCTTGGATCTATAGGCCTGAGGCAGATGAGGAGATGGAGTCTTGGATCTATAGGCCTGAGACTGAGAGGATTTAGGAGTTTTAGACTCAGACAAGAGAATGAAAACAAAGGATTTGGGAGTTTTAGACTCAGACAAGAGAATGAAAGAATTGGCGACAGAATGAAGAAATTGCTTGAACACCACGTTACGTTTAAATGCTTTTATGGGAAAGCCTGAATTCCTTCAAAAACTGAAACACTGTAAACTTTCTAGCAAATTTGTTCTCTGACCGAAGTTGCAACCAGGAATTTTGGTGCCTGGGACAGGGAGCAGCGGTTGGAGGGTGGGGGAGTGTCTTTCAAACAGCTTGATTTATTTTCATTTGTTGCAAAATCCATTGTTGAATATTGAGGGACACCATGACCCCCAATGAATTTGAGTTGCAACTTCCAGCACCATTTAAGAGGTTGGTTTAAGAACATGCCCCCTATCCATTTTCATTTGCCTCAAAACATGACAGATTTGAATTTCATCTGCCTTGTGGGAATGGCATGGTGACCTCTCCTTTTAGATGGTGAGATTTTGCAATACAGTAGTGGCTGAAACTGCAGAGGAGACAAATATGCAATTTTAACCTTCTGTTGCCAGTGCTTTGAAGTAAGCAATGGACAGAATGTGGATGGAGGTAGCAGGAATTACCTCTTTCACCTTGCTTTTCCACTCTTCATATTTTGGTGCCCTGAGTCAAAGTCATGATTGCCCCATACTAGTTACAGATACAGTTTCAGGATTTGGGCAATCTATCCCATAAATCCATCTAACCTCATGCTTAGACATGATCCTCTGAGCCTATCTGTACTACCGCTCTCAGAAGGCCCAACCATTACGGCCCATGAGAACTGTAATTCAAAATATTTGAAATGTTGTGATACTGAATCACCATGCTGCACCCCATTCCCAAAATAACCTTCTAACAAATATAGCTGCACCTTAGAGGTAGAAAGGCAATGCCTCAATGGTGCACAAGCTACATGGCATATATACCTGGGTCTGAAGAAGTAGACTGTATTCCATGGAAGCTAATAGATTTGTTATTTTCAAAGGTTTTTATCTGTACTTCACATTTATTATTAGTCTTATTTCAAATATTTTTACATTGTCCTTCATCATAGGTTAACTAGGGTGGTTTCAAAATGGAAGTGTAATAATCGAAATCCCATTGAATAAGAAAAAAAGGACAGAACACATATAAGCATCTACTGTCACCTGGTTTTATAAACTAATCTTAGATGTTTGTGCGAGTCTCAGCAACAGCCATGATTGCAGAGAGAGATTATTTCATAGGAAGGATGCTACAACAGAAATGGTGTCCTCCCTTGTTGCTATATAAGTTGCCAAGGGTACCTGAGAAAGAGCCTTTCCTGAAGGCCCTCAACACAGATCCTGGACAGGGTTATGCAGGGAGAGATACTTCTTTAGAAGTATTTAGGTCCTAAACTGTTACCCGCCACTATCTCCACTGCATGCTGAAGGCAGATTTTGAACTGAATAGGACACAGTGGGTTTTAAGCAGATTGAGACATGCTTTCTTAAATTCTAAACTGCTACAATTGCCTGCATTAAATATTTCTAAATATCTACTCAACAAGTAAAGTAGCAAATCTTACTGTCAGCCTTACAACAAAGTGCCCTGGTAAGCAATAAAAAAGCTTGTTTTTTTCAAATGCAAAACTGCAATTCGCAGCATTTTAAACCACACCATGCAATTTGCTATACAAACTACTTGCAAAAATGATAAAAGTTGCAAGTAAGGGCAATGCAAAAGCTTAGTTAGTACTATAAATAACATTATAATCTGAATAGCATTATATGAAATGCTTTGTAATGTGATTTTTGTTTACATATTTATTTCTATCCACGCCAAGCGGCTTGGCTGTAGCATCATTGATTCCAATAATTCTCCGGTGGGATTTGGAAAAAGGGCTTGAGAAAAGCGATGGCAAACTTTATGATAAGGTTTTATTAGTTCCAAACAGATACTGATCACAACAGCAAAAAGAACATCTGCTGTATCACACCAGCAAAATCTAGTTCTTTATGGAAATACCACTCATTCCTAACTTGTGTACTAGATTGTGAACATCTTTCTTAGGTAAGACTTTCTACTCCAGCACATTGTTGTTTGTGGTGGGCTGTGACCATAAGAATAAACAACAGTGACTCTCCCACATCACCAATATTGCTGCCACACATGGACCTGATAAGGGATAGTCTCACCTAGATAAACGTCTTTGGATATCAAACGGGGCTGCAATGTGTGGGGCTCCTGCATGCCCAAAGGACTTTGGAATCCAAACCTGTATCTCCTGATTTGTTTTGTTTTACAAAGCATGCACTGCTGTTAATGAGAATAAGTCACAAAATTTAATCTTCAGCCAGGACAAGGTCCCTGATAAATCAGTATTCAGAGTTCTAGTTGGTTATATGGATTGATTGATCCTCATACGAATCATACTGAGTGACTCTGTCCATCTATCCAGTCTGTCATCTGTGTGAATGTGTTCTTCAGGACAACATTAAATACTGAGAAACTGAACAACTATGGTAGTCACTGAACACTGTACAGCTATCTAGTGACAAGCATGTATTTCTCCATCCCTCCTCCATGGTACTGTTTATGCCTCCATCCTGAAGAAATTCCATCTAGAAAAAGGAATGAGACTTGCTGTCCTTATTAATTCACTAGCTGCTTACACTCAGAAGTAATTCAGATGACTAGCCTCAAAACATTGGAAAGGTCACATGATACAGAACTGAACAAAATAAACATGGCTGGGACAAATACAAACAGTACCTGGGAATCCATTTTTCAGTCTTTTCAATTGCCAGAATCTTCATGGTATTTGCATAAGTTTGATGCTACTTTCCACAGCTAATTGTGGCTGACTGATGAGGTGCCCTCTTGGTCTCTTGTCTAATTATACAGCCAAGATGCACCCCCCCACGTGGCAACTCATTAGTTAACTGCAATTAGCTGTTGTAAAATTTGCATCAGTAGGATTCTGGCCTATATTTATACCCAGCCCTTTTAAATATGTTCTCAGGATGACACAGAATAAATATTTAAAAAGACGATATATTTTATATTAGGTGTTACCTTGGATACAAGGCTTGCCCTGTATGCAGCTAACTGCTTCAGATATTCCTTCTTAGCAGCTTCAGTCTTCTTTTTATATACCTGGAAAATAAGGGAAAATTGTGTATCAGCAAATAAGCCTCTTTTGCTTTAAGTAAAATCTCATGATGTCCAATACATACAAAATAAGTTTTCTTTTCCTTTTGCTCTCCTTCTGTTTTTCTTCTTTACAGTATTTTTTTAAAAATGTGAACAGGAAGGAAGGGCACCTGTGATTCTTCATAAGAAGGTAGCAAAAACTCTACTGGCTCAGGTCAAAAACTTGATTGGTCCTACATTTTGGGTCAAATCAAAGGGTTGTGAGAAGCCCTTCAGCAGGACATGTGCAACTTTACCTTCCAAATGTTGTTGGATTCCATTTCCCATCAGCCCCACCCAGCTTGGTCAATTATGAAAGAGTACAGGAATCGTCAGCACCATCCTGGATGACCACAGGTTTCCTATTCATGGCTTATGTAATGCAAATGTATAAAGTAACAGTGTTGTGAACTGAGGAGAAATGCTAATTACAAGTTAACGCTTCTGTTACAACCAGCGTGGACAATTTTTGTGAATTTAAGTATATAAATGGAGATGAGTCCTGCCGTTGGAAGAGGTGATCGGGTGGTGGCAGCAGCAGAAGGTAGAGGTGCAGCCATGTGGCTGCCCATGGACTGCTACTCCGCCTCCGGCAAGGGTCAAAACTGGGGGTCGTTTTATATATGGGGGGTCATATACATGGAAAAATATGGTACTTAATGTTTTTACTTTTACCACAGTTCAAAGTTTCCATATCTGCCCTCCAAAAATAAATAAATAAATAAACAAACAAACAAACAAAACAAAAAAACCCAGCCCAAAACAACCAATCATGTCCTGAGGTAGGGAAATCTGTTTTGGCCAATCCTATACCTAAGAAGCCAATATCAGGTCAGGGGAAATGGCTGATTGTAGCCTGTAAAGGGCATGATTGGTCACTTTAGGTCAAAATATTTCATTTAAATTGGGGCGGGGGGAGGATTGCATTGAGTCTCATGTGCACCTCCGGCCACACTTTGCCCAAATCTGTATTAAACAAATGCTTTTAAAAGGGTTGTTGTGGGTTTTTAAGGGCTCTTTGGCTGTCTTCTGAAGGTTGTTTTTCCTAACGTTTTGCCAGTCTCTGTGGCCGGCCCCTGGAAGATGCCGGCCACAGAGACTGGTGAAACGTTAGGAAAAACAACCTTCAGACACATGGCCAAAGAGCCCAGAAAACCCACAACAACCATTAGATCCCTGCCGTGAAAGCCTTCACGAATATATTGAACGCTTTTAAAAGGTTTTGTTCTAAATCAATTATTCTGCTACTGTGGTCAAGCAGACGCTCCTAGAATTCTTACGTAAGTGGCACTAGCTCTGTGAAACAGTTGTAACATAGTAGTGTCACTCTAATCACCTGGACAATGTCAGCCTAGTGCCACAAACTGGCAGCAGTGGGCAAGACACCATGTGACTATGGCAATCCACACAGTTCTCATGTGTGACTACTATGTGAAGCCATTGCCACAATGAAGCAGTTCTAGGAATTCCCGTTGAACTCAATGGACATGTTCACCACAATCAGCCACCCTTGCATCCTTCCTTCCATAACATAAGTAAATGTTGTGATTTTGAAACCTGGGACAAAGGAAAATTAATATGGTAAAATATTTTCCACTATACTATAAATTGGCTATACACATTTTGTAGGGGCAGTACATAAATGTAAAATACCTGACAGGAAAAAAAAATACCAAGCAAGGGTTATATATATTTGAAAGATATTCATAGCAAATGAATTGTGCCAATTTATTTTTGAAGCAAATTGGTTGAGTTTCATTTGTAACAGTCAATCACCATTCTGTGGTCAATTAGGCATGCTCAGTCATCACTAAGATTTGTTGAGGAGGCAGTACCTTTAGGATTATTGTTTACAAAAAACCACTGAGGGTTGGAATTTCCGAAAAACTTGGGATTTCCAAATCTGCTGATACTACTATTCTTAGTTAGGGTTGTGATATATTGGTTATATACACAATGATTGAGACTCATGCTCCAATGTGAGAAAATTTAATTTACTTATTTACTTACTGTATTTTTCTGTGTATAAAACTATACTTTTTCCTAAAACAATTAGAAGAAGAATTGAGGGTTGTTATATGCACAGGAGGTGGAGGCAGAGGCGGAGCAACCCCGCTCTCACAGCAGCCCATTGCTGCCACCGCCTCCAGATCGCCTCCACCAGTGCCACTCGCAGACTCCCTTTGGGCAGGGGACAAGGCAACGATGTGAAATAGAGGTGAGCCCTGGCACTGGCACTGGAGGAGGCGATCAGGAAGCAGCAGTCAATGGGCCGCCGCAAAGGGTGGCCCAATGTGGCTGCTCCTCCACCTCCTGCCACTGCCGCTGCCACCTAATCACCTCCTCCAGTGCCAGGGCTCACCTCCAGTGAATGTCGCTGTCTTGTCCCCTGCTTGAAGGAGGCCCATAAGTGGTACTGTGGGAGGCAATTCGCTGGGTGGCAGTAGTCAATGGGCAGCTGCAAGACTTGGCCGAGTGCGGCTGCCTCCACCTCTTGTAGCTGCCATTGCCTGCCGCCAGCGCTGGTGGATCGCCTTCTCCAGCACTACTCGTGAGCTCCCTTTGGGCAGGGGACAAAGCGGCGACATTCGCTGGAGGCGAGCCCTGGCGTTGGAGGAGGTGATCGGGTGGCGGCAACAGCAGAAAGCAGAGGCACTGCCACGCTGAGCCCCCCCCCTCGTGGCTGCCCATTGACTACTACTCCACCTCCGGCAAAGGTCAAAATTGGGGGGGCGTCTCATATATGGGGGGGTCGTATACATGAAAAAATATGGTACTTACTGTTTTTTACTTTTACCACAGTTTAAGTGCTTTGTGGTGCAGTGGTTAAACTGCTGTACTGCAGCCAAAACTGCTCACAACCTCAGGTAGCCATCTCAGCCTTCTATCCTTCCAAGGTCAGTAAAATACTCACGGGGGGGGGATGTGTAGCCTGCATAATTAACTTGTAAACCACCCAGAGAGTGCTTTAAGTGCAGTGAGTGGTATATAAGCAGCACACTTTGCTTTTGCTTTTTATATATGACTATTGATAAACACAATAATGATTGCACAGGCAACCCTGCCCACCAAGAAGTAAATATTCAAAATAGAAAATAGAGCAATCAATAGGCTTAAGAAAGAGGCTAAACTCAATTCTTTTTCTCAGCTAGAGGAGGTCCACTGAATGAATGTGATTTCTTAAGTCACCAGTTGATTCAATAGAAACAATGATGAGATTTAGCTCAAGAGTAGGGAGGGAGGGATGCTTTTGAATCGTGGTGCTGGAGGAGACTCTTGAGAGTCCCGTGGACTGCAAGGAGATCAAACTTATCCATTCTGAAGGAAATCAACCCTGAGTGCTCACTGGAAGGACAGATCCTGTCACTGAGGGTTGGAATTTCCAAAAAAACTTGGGATTTCCAAATCTGCTGACCCTGATGTTGGGAAAGAGTGGAGGCAAGAGGAGAAGGGGACGACAGAGGACAAGATGGTTGGACAGTGTCATGGAAGCTACCAACATGAATTTGACCCAAATCCGGGAGGCAGTGGAAGACAGGAGAGTCTGGTGTGCTCTGGTCCATGGGGTCACAAAGAGTTGGACATGACTAAATGACTAAACAACAACAATAGGGAGGGACAATTGTAGACAAACACCATTACACATACTTGGTTACAAATATGAATGAGGATGAAAGGGACAAGATCAGCATGAGGTGGAAAAGTTGAGATCTGCAGAAGTAAGAAAGGGGGGAATCAACATTTCTTAGTTGTTACTGGACAGATTTGATACCACAAAAAAAGGAAAAGGAATTTCAGTTCGTTTACATGGCTTTGGATAGATATAACCACATTCCTACTGATATACAGTACTTCAAAAGTCCAGTTCCATTCATGCGGCATGCCTCCTATGTACCTCAACATTCTCTAAATAATTATTAACGTTATCTTAATTATTGATGGTAGTTGCTTTGTTTTTAAAATAACAAATCCTATTAAATGGCATATAGCTCGAACAAATGACATTAATCAAGGACTCACAATATAAGTATCTGCATGTATTTTCAAGCCAGAGACCTTCAGAATGACTCACATCTGGAAAAGGTGACAATGACAGGACAGAACATCCAGAACTTAATACGGAGCATGACAACATGTATATGTCCAAAAAACCTGAGTGGGAACAACAGTACCTTATAAAAATACTAAACTGTCAGTGTAGCTATTGTTTCCTGAGAGACCAAGGTATTTTTTTTATTTATGTATTGGAAATAAGGCTTACTTTCTGTAAATTTAAATTGATCTCTTTTGATCTCCTTATTACACATTATTTTAATCACACATGCTTCCAAGTACACTTCCACACTTCACCATTTGTGAAGTGATGCCACATTATCCTTATGAAATGTGCTTCATTATAATCCATCAAAGATGTGTTTTCAAGAGCATGCAGGCCCCTCTGATCTCTGCTGGTAAAACCCAGAGGTTGCTTAAAAGGATTAAAGATTTTACATCCCAGGGAAACATAAGATTATAATGGAGGAACAGGCGTCCTAGGATACTAAAGCTGTAAATATCGAGAGAGGAATAAAAATAATAGATTAGTTCTAGCTGTGCAACGGCATGTGTGCATTCTTCTGCAATTTCTTCAGATTACAAAGCTGAGATCATTTTGTTTCAGAAAGGATTTATAACAAGTTATGTTGCTGAGTTGATTGTTTGTGGTTATTGCTAAAACGTATTGTTTGTTTCAAGGAAATGAAACACCCGTTAGCTGACAGTTTTTCCTCTCTCCTAGCAGCTAAAATTAAATTTGCCTGACCTGAAAGAATAGGAAAGAATGCAAATTGCATTCTCTGTTTGAATATATCTGCATAATTTTGTTATTTCATTTTCAAAACAAAAATAGAGCCTAATAAGAATAAAACATCACAGATTTATTCCTGGAATTTCACATTCCATATGTCCAATTAATAGCAGTTCTA